AGCTTTTGCTGTGAGATTTTAAGTAAGTAATCAGGAAACCAAACTAAAAGCTCTTCTACTTTTCCTCAGAAGGAGAAATAACAAAGTCAGAGATATATCAAAAATGAAAAACTTACTCTTCATGGAATCCTCTGAAGCAGTTTAAGATAACTTTTCCTCCTATAAGGACAAAAATATCACAGAATGTTTAAAGTTTCTCCACTGTTCTTTGAGAGAAAAGTAGAAAGGAAAAAGGAAACATTAGCAGAGTAACTAGAAATCATTAATACTGTGTTAATATTTCATTGAGGTATTCCTATCAGTTGGACTTGTCTAGAGAATTATCAGCAAAAAAAAAAAAAAAAAAAAAAAAATCTCATGAAGTTTTTGTGAATAACCTAACCATAATTGTTCAGAACCAATAAAAAAAAGATTTTTCAATGAAACCGTTAGCAATAATGGTAGGTTTGTGAACAGAAAACTTTGGGGGAAATTTTTAATGTGTGGTCAAGCTGGCTAAGATTAAAAATGGATTTAATTTTGTAAATGGTTTAATTATCAAAAGTAAGCTGGTGCAGATTTAGAGTTTGTTGCTCTTTGTGTTAAAAGGATGAAGTTTTTTTGGACTGCAAGTCTGCTCCCGAGAAGATATTGTAACAAGTTTTCTGCCTAGAAAACAAAGATTCTCTTTTTAAAAAATAACTTCCTGGATTTTATGTGGTCTTCATCGGGTCTTTGATTACTTAAGAAAACAGAATCCTTCCACAGAAAAAGTTAGCCGTTTGTATTCAGAACGCTCTAGTTGACTTCCATGGAAAGGCGGCAGCAACAGAATGAGGCCCATTCTCCTTCCGTAAAAACCACCCCTCACTGCCCGACGTTTGCTGTCCAGACGTCCTTGTGACGTGGCAGCCGTCTGCTCCTGGATCAGCGAGACTAAGACGGGTAGACAATGTTGTACATTAAATGAACAGACAGGGCCCGGGAACCCCAAGACGGCTGCTTGCTTCTCCCGGGGCCCTGGCAAAGCTCGTTTTCTCAGTTTCGGCATTCTTTCCTGCACCAAAGGGCCTGTAAACTGGACTTCATTCAACTGCCACTCAGTATGGGTTGTCAGTATACTCCTGCTGTTCGGTGTACATTTTCTGGAAAGGTTGATGCTCTCTCCTGCCACGAGGCTAAGGCTATTGCCTTCACAGTGACAAGGAAACGGTGAGAAAATGTTTCCCACTTGGGGTAGACCTCAAGGCTATTTACATAGTCCCACCACATGCCGTGGGCTGGTGGCTTGGGATCTGATATAGTGATAAGGATAATACACTATTGAGTAAGGATAAATACACTATTGAAGTATTAAAGTGTGGAATTGAAGTGTGATATCTGAAAGTGTGGAATCGAATGTAGCCAAATTGACAAGCACCCTTGAATGACCTGTATGTAGAAAATAGATAAAGTGGTCTGTATCCCATATGTAAGACCAGAGAGCAAGGCTCCTGGGACCACTGATAAGACACACTGAAGACGCCTACCTGAGCACATGAAAAGAGCAAGTCCCAAGAAGATCAGAGATGCTCATTCTGCTCCTCCACAGACGGTCACTCTCCATTTTCCCCACCTGCACCCGCGCCGCGGACTGTGAGCTGTCACAAGAGCCTCAACTGAAGCCGAGCTGCAACGTCCGTGAACCGTGTGTGTGTCTTTCAGTGCGGATCCCCGGGTGGCCTGCCGAGGTCTGGCACCCACCAGGACTCTGGTAAATAAACCGTGAGTGATTCGTGCATTGCATGTTTGTCTCCTGTGTAATTTATGCTCGGTGGAATTATTAAGTACCTGTCAGATTACTGGCTGAGGCACCCTAAGTCACCTGTGCATACGTCCCTTATGGAATTATTGGGACAGGACCTTTCCTTGTTTTCCCTCCCAGCCTCTGAGAAAAGTTAACGTGTGGAGATTTGCCTCTGCTGCAGAAAACCTTGCGGCCTCGCAGAGCCATCTAAGCAGTGAGGATGGGCAGTGAACCCACAAAGATTCAAGGTCCAGGCACCGCACTGACGTTCTTGGGAGTCGTATGGCCTGGTAAGACACACATTGTCCCTGAGTCCGTCACAGACAAGCCTACTGTTACCACAAAATGCGAAAGAGGTACCGGCTTCTGTGGGAATTGGGGGGTACTGGTGAATATTTATTCCCAGTGTAGTATAATACTGTCAGCCATTCTATCCCCTGGTTTAAAGGGGCCATACATGGGTCCGGGGAGCCAAACAACAGGCTGCCTGTGAAAATGCTGGTCACACAGATGAAAGCCCTTGGCATTCCCCAGGGAGGGTGGGGGGGTTAACATCTGAGTCAGATATTTCAGTCACCCAGCAAGGCATGGGCTGGGCATTATGGCAAAAAAAAAAATAGCAAAAAGAGAGGCTATCCGTTGGGTTTTGCTCCCTCTTATGGAAGGGGGCAAAAATCAGCTATACTCACTAGAACCGCAATTCCTGGCAGTGTCTAGATCACATGTGTCAAACACAAGGCCCGAGGCCAAATCCGTCCCGCCAGACCTTGCAATGTGGCCCGCACCTCGCTGTCATCACTGCACTCCGCTGCGTTTCCATCACAATGACAGTTTATGACTGTTCAGTAAACCATTCGGCCCGCAATTTAGGCTGGATTTTAGATTTTGGCCCCTTCTCTGATTGAGTTCGACACCCCTAGTCTAGATAGTGCTAACACAGGCGGGGCCTCTCACCAAAGAGCAGCCAGTTACAGAAGAACGTCCCTTCCCATCAAGAACTGGACTGACATGTTCCACTGACCTGCATCTGCCACGGCTCAGGCTCCTATGCTGACCAGATGGTGAGTATTCCTACAGCCTAGGCCTACTACCCTCCAATTACTGCTGCTCCCATCCCTGTGTCAACCCCTGCCACCTGCAAAAAGCATAGGAAAACTTCCAGCGGGGACCTGGTGCACCAACGGCTCAGCCGGGGTAATCCAGCTACCCACTGACACGACCTGGGCTGCTCTAAGAGCTGTCTGGCTGGTGATCGTACCTGAACCTTGGCCACTGATCCTGTATACTGCCAGCTGGGTTATGGCTTAGACAGGAGACACAGAGGAGTGAGTAATTATGAACAAGCATTTATGGAGACAGTAGATGTAGAAACGTTATTTGGACTCACGTGCAAGAGTCAGAGGCTGGCCTTGTTTTCCATGTCCCTGGCCAGAAGGTGTCTGTGCCTCCAGGAGGCAGATGACTTGGCAAAAATACATGCATTAGCAACTGAACTGTCAGTTGACCCTGTAGATTGGGTACACCAGAAGAGTGGACATTATAGTGCTGCCTTTAAAATACAGCGACTGGTCAATAGTTACTGAATGGAGATTCTATTCCTATATAACCCACAGGCACCTGGGTTGGTACAACGGAAAAGGGTGTCCTCAAACAGCAAAGTTATGAACTGGAAAACCTACTTGGGCCAAACGTGCTTTCCCAAACATTAATACATTTAATAACCACCCTGTGGAGCACTGCTCCACATGTCAGGCTGGGAACTCAGCCTGAGGCACCCAGTAGGGAAAAGGTGTAGAAAACAAACGACATAGCAATAGACCTGTTTGCCATGGGCCAACATGCTATCAAGCCACCAAATCCTAACAGAGACACTTATTGGAATCTGTAAAAGGACTTTCCTCTGGGCTGGGTCCAGTGCTTCCTGCTCCTGCATGGGAAGAACTGCTCAGTCTCTGGTGGGAAACATGCTATCTGTAGACCAGTTCATGCATCATTAAAAGGGGAGAGAAGGTAAGGGCCCTGGCCTGGCCTATTCTTCCCCTTATCTACCCGGCTCACGCCAGAAAAAAATCACTTCCCCTGGCCAGATTTCCGTGGCTGCAGCCATGTTAACAGCTAAGATTATGGTGCAAATAAAATTGTCATGACCCTACTAAATATTTAGCTTTCTGGTCTTAGATTTATTTCTACTTTTCCTGTGCAACATCCAAACTGAATGTTGTGTTTTTATACCATATAAGTCCGTTCATAGCGCTTCTCTGTGAGCACATAATAAAAACTCAAGTAAATGTTTTAATCTGACCCCAAGCCTAGGTGAGCTACTAAATCACTGGTTTGGGCTAGAGGTCATGATGGAAGGAAATGTTAATACCTGGACTGCTGCTTTTAATTTTTCTCTGTTCTGTCTCTGTACTGCTGAAGTCAATCGGCAGCTAAGCAGGCCACTTCCCTGCTGCTGAAGCCCCTTGCTGACTTCAGAGCAGCTGGCAGCAGAGAGGGACAAGTAAGACTGTAAGAGCCAGTCCCAAGGGGGTGAGTGTGAAGGAGACTGTTTCAGAATATGATCGCTCTCTATCCCAAAGCTGGACCTGGGCCAGAATAGAGGTTGCTTTTCACAAACCCTCCTTAGAAGACAGAATGAATAGCATATGATCAGACAAACATAAACCAGCACCTTTCCCTGGCCGCCTCCTGTGTGCCAGTTCCTGGAATAAGCTGCTGTTGTCCTGACCTGGTCAAGCATGTAAAGATATTTTCTGTACCTGGTCGTACCCATGACAATCTCTTTACCTTATAAAATTCTTGGATCTCCGTGATGCTTGGCAGGAACCAATTTCATCTTCAGCTGCCCAAGACACACTCTGTATGTACATTTCCCTTCATAAGCCCCATCACTTACCAGGCTGCAGAGGCCAGCCTCTTCCTTGAGTCCACAGAGAGAGATTTTCAGTTTCCAGCTGCCTTGTGGATGGGTGACTTGGGGTATATCAGGAGCTGGAACAGTCTGCCTGCATCAGTGGCAACCTAGGTGCGGGGATCTGTTCCCGTGACAATTTTCCCCACAACAGGGGAGGAGAGGGTGTGGGAGAACAAGGCTAGAAGTGTAACGAAATGGTGCAAGTTTATCAGAGTGGAAGGTGACAAATACACCAAGATCTGTGCCCTCCCCAACATTGGTCATGCTATGCTGATAGCTCTCTAGAAGCCTGTGAACAATTATTACATCCATGATTTTTTATTTTTTTTTTAGAGACAGGGTCTTGCTATGTTGCCCAGGCTGGAGAGCAGTGGCTCTTCACAGGCGCGATCCCACTACTGACCAGCACGGGAGCTTTGACCTGCTCCGTTTCCGACCTGGGCCGGTTCACCCCTCCTTAGGCAACCTGGTGGCCCCCCGTTCCCGCTCCCGGGAGGTCACCATATTGGTGCCGAACCGAGTGCGGACACCCGATCGGCAGAGCGCACTACAGCCAGAGCTCCTGGGCCCGAGCGATCCTCCAGCCTCAGCCTCCCGAGCAGCTGGGACTGCAGGCGCGCGCCACCGCGCCCGGCACATCCATGATTCTTATTAATTCAGCACATCCACGGTATTATTATAGCTTAAATGTATTGCCAGCCTCCCAATAGTTCTGGCTCACGTGGAATAGAAAGAAAAAGATACCTTTATCAAGAAATTATGCCGTCCCTTTTACAGCCTTACGTGGGTAAAACTGATAAATTATAGTGTTAATAATAATGTCTATTGAATTTAGTGTCTATTTAATTGAAGCTAATGAGATCCCGATGGCATTTGTTGGGATATTCACAAACCAAACCTCCTCTCAGTAACACTAAAGGTCCCCAGAATTGAGCTCCAGATAGCTGTCCTAGGAGGGCTGACTATGGATTTATGTTGGTTTCTCTGCACTGTAGTGGCAGCCTAGTATAGCCCATCAACAGTTCTAGAACGTTCCTATCCTATTATGCTACATGTCTGCTATTCGTGTGAGAGGTGGAAATAGAGCTACAGGCAAATCACAGCCTTGCCAGAACCCACATTTTGGCCCCAGCTTCCCAGAATAAGCAACTTCTTGTATTTTCTTCATTCCATCCATACCCCGACTGCTACCCCCAAACCCACCTTGACATCTGAGGGATAGTATGCTAATTTTAGAATAAATTACCACTGAGGTTGTATAATATGCAGTATTAAGCATAGAAGTAAAAAAGGCACCCACATTTTAAACTACAGTTTCATCAAGTATATCAGATAAGTGAAATGTTTCATAATATGGAGAAGAACTTGATTTTACTTACTTTTCACCTATATCTGCAGTAGTCTTAGGGAACAAACTGGGGAGAGAATAAGAGGAAATTTTATATTTGAGTAAGACACTCAAATGTTACATTAATACACACACACAGTATAAACCAACATGTTAATGTCTACAATCACAGACTATTAGAAGGAAAGGCCACAAAAGAATAGTTCACTGGTTAGAGGGACTGTAAGCAGTTTTAATTTGATGCTATTCTCCAATTTCTAGTTATCAGATTGAGAAAAGGTACATTATTTAATTCCCACTAAAATTTTTAATACCCACTAAAATTTTAGATCAAAATGAATTCAAATGTGTGGCTACAGAGTAGCAGGGACCAGGGAAATGCAGATGACAAGCTTTGTTCCAGATAAAGGATTAGAGCTTTCTGTGGTGGGAAAGGACAGACTTTGCTAAAGTGAAATGACAAACTCTAACCTGAAGGCCATACAGAGATAGGACCTGGGACACATTCCAAGTGCTCAACTGGCTGGGCAGGATCCCCACGTCAACCAGTTGGCTTCTGTGCTTGTTGCAGCCATTGGTGAGGCAGGATAGGGCCCCGCAGGTGTCTGAGAGAGCCTCGCTGTCTTGGTGCTGGAAAAGAATGGACATTTGTTTCGTGTTTTTTGCAGGTTCTTGTTTTGGCCCAGTGATCCCACTTCTCCGAATATATCCGAAGAAACAAACACCAACTACATGCACCCCTATGTTCATAGCAGCACAATTTACAATAGCCAAGATTTGGAAACAGCCCGATTGCCGATCAGCAGATGAGTGGATTAAAAAAAGCTGTGGTATATTTAAACAATGGAATACTATGCGGCTGTAAAAAAGAAAACTCTTACCATTTGCAACAGCCTGGATGATTATGGAGAACATTATGCTAAGTGAAATAATCCAGTCAGAGAAAGGTAAGTATCACATGATCTCACTCATATGTGGAATTTAATGAACAACATAAACTGATGAACAAAAACAGATCCAGAGATATAGAAGCATGGAACAGACTGATGAATTTCAGAGGGAAGGCAGGAGATTGGGAAGTCGGGGAGGAGTGATTAACCAGAGAACTTACTGGCATAGCCCATGGACACAGATGATAGAGTAGTGAAGGCCTGGGAGGGGTGTGTGCAGGGTAGAGGGGGTCAATGGGAAAATCAAAAGCAAAGGGAGCCCTGACCGGTTTGGCTCAGTAGATAGAGCATCAGCCTGCAGACTCAAGGGTCCCGGGTTCGATTCCAGTTAGGAGCATATGCCTTGGTTGCAGGCACATCCCCAGTGCAGGGTATGTAGGAGGCAGCTGATTGATGTTTCTCTTCCATCGATATTTCTAACTCTCCCTCTCCCTTCCTCTCTGTAAAAAAATCAATAAAATATATATATTTTTTTAAAGGGGACATTTGTAATACTTTCAACAATAAAGATAAATTTTAAAAAGTAAACTATACTTATTTTATATCCTGTGTTTGCTAATCCCAATATCTAAAGTCTTGGAGGTCTAATCATACTGTTTTTTTCTGCTGTCTCTGAACTTGAAATTGCTAATATTGGGCTGAACTTAATTTGTCATAATCCTGAGAGGCCCAATTGAGTTTTTCACCAGAAAGCATTATGTTTTTATTGAGGCAGGAATCTGAGAGCTTCCAGCCATGCAATACTAACTCCTCAGTGTGAGCTTTTCTGGGAAACACAGGGACTAAAGCCTTGGTCCCAAATCCATGAAGTTAATCTTAAATTATTAAGGACATTGTAGAGGAGACAATTAGTCTCACTTTTGAATGAATTAGCCTTTTCTTATATTGTGTGAACATTTTGCCACTGCCAAAAAAAAAATTAAAAAAAATAGGCCATTGGAGCTCATTTCCAGCTATGAACCTGTAAATAAAAGAAATCTGTTTGGCAATACCTGGATGGCCTAGAACATGGGTCTGGGTCAGGCATTTGTACCACTGATTATTTCTTGCAAAATGGGGCTGATCTGTAACAAGATAAACATTCAAGTCAGAGTCTCTGCGAAAAGAAAGTCATCTAGTCTAGCCATCTATCTGATTAGAACAGGCCGGCTGGGTCAGTATGTCCCAATCTTCATGCTGGTTTATACTATTATGGGAGAAAAGAACATCTGGTGGTCTCATAGATCTCACATATGCATACGCCCTGCATGAGAGGTAATTCCTAACATCATTTAGATCCCCAGCACCAATTTATCTTATGCAGTAAGACATGCTTGTAAATATCAGCAAAAAAAGAAAAATTTTAAAAAATGGCAGAATAAAGACCCACAAAAATTCTGTACTCTCTAAAAGCAACAAGAAAGCTGATAAACATAGTCAGAATCAACTGTTTCAGAACTCTAGAAACTAATCAAAGACTTGCAGCAATTTGTTTTATTTACTAAACCAAAAAAATTACTGTTTTTGAGTTCTAAATCTCTAGAACAGTTAGTTATCTACAAGGAAGCTCCCATAAGACTATTAGCTGATTTCTCAACAGAAATTTTGCAGGCTAGAAGGTATCAGCAAGAAATATAGGTGATAAAAAGCAAGGACCTAAAATCGAAATTACCCAGCAAAGCTATCATTTAGAATTATAGGACAGATAAAATGCTTCCCAGTCAAGAAAAAGCTAAAGGAGTTCATCACCACCAAATCAATATTACAAGAAATGTTAAAAGGTCTTCTTTTCAAAGAAGAAAAAAGATTTAAAATGCAAATAAAATGGCAATAAATATATATCAACAATTATTTTAAATGCAAGTGTATTAAATGCTCCAACCAAAAGTTATGCAGAGATTGAATGAATAACAAAATAAGACCCTTACATATGCTGTCTATAAGAGACTCACTTCAGATCAAAAGTCACACAGAGACTGAAAGTAAAGGGATGTAAAACAATATTTCATAACAATGGAAACAAAAAAAGCTGGCATAGGAATATTTATCCCAGACAAAATAGACTACGCAAAATTCTTAATGCAGTTAAGGGACCACTGGGGCAATATCAAGTGTACCAACATTTGCATCAAAGGGGTCTCAGAAAGAAATGGTAGAAAGGGATTAAAAACATATTTGAAGAAATAATGATGGAAAACTTCACTAACAAGTCAAAAGAAATAGCTATACAAGTTCAGAAAGCGCAGAGTCCCAAACAATATAAACCCAAAAAGTGCCGAAACCGGGATCCCCAGTGTGAGACATGCAGAAGACAGCCAAGCAATGATTCTTTCCATCTGTTTTTCTCTCTCTCCCTCTCCCTTCTACTTTAAAATCAATAACAATATATTTTTTTAATTTGACTACTATCAACATAGATTGGTATAAATGAAGTAAGCACATGATATCCAAAAACCAAAATCTATAAGATATACAAAAACAAAGGAATCAAAACACAAAACTATAGAAAGATATCAACACGCAAGAGAAGAACAAGAGAAGAAATGAACAGAACTACAAAAACAATCAGAAAAAAAATTAATAAAATGGCAATAACGACATACCTATCAATTATTACTTTAAATGTAAATATACTACTAAATATTCTAATCAAAAGGGTGGCTGAATATAATAGATAAGAAAATAAGATCTCTACATATGCTATCTATAAGAGATTCAGTTCAGATCAAAAGACACACACAGTCTGAAAGTAAAGGGAGGGGAAGATATTTCATGAAAATGAAAAAAGCTGGGGTAGCAATAGTTACATCAGATAAAATAGACTTTAAAAACAAAAGTTGTAACAAGAGAAAAAGAAGGGAATTTCATGGTAAAGGAACCCATTCACCAAGAGGATTCAACTCTTGCAAATATCTACACACCCAATTTAGAAGCACCTAAATATGCAAAGCAAATATTGACCGACCTGAAAGGAAGACAATAGAAGACTATCACCCCATGACATCAATGTATAAGTCATCCAGACAGAAAATCAACAAGGTTAACAGTGGCTTTAAATGACAATTAGACCAAATGAAATTGATATTAGATATTTCACCCCAAAACATTAGAATATACATTCTTTTCTAGTTCATATGGAACATTATCTAGGATAGATCACATGTTATGTCACAAAATGTCTCAACAAATTTAAGGAGATTAAAATCATATCAAGCATCTTCTCCCAATGACAATGGTATGGAAATACAAAGTAATTACAAGAAAAAAATTATGAAGCACACCCAAAATCTATGGGACACAGCCAAAGTAATTCTAAGAAGGAAATTCAGAGCCATACAAGCCCACATGATAAAACAACCAAAATCTTAAATAAACAATCTAACCTTACACCTAAGAAGCAAGAATAAAAAGAATAAAGCCCAAAGCAAGTTGAAGGAAGAAAATAATTAGAAGAATGGAAATAAAATAGAGACAAAAAATAATAGAAAATAATCAATAAAAGAGCTGGTTCTTTGAAAATATAAATAAAACTTACAAAGCCTTTACCCAGATTTATCAAGAAAAACAGAATACCCAACTAAATAAAATCAGAAATGAAAGATAAGTGTCCACCAACACCACAAAAGTACTAAGAATCACCAAGAAATACTATGAAAAATTACATGCCAACAAATTGGACAACCTGGAAGAAATGTATAGATTCCTAGAAATATATAATCTCCCAAGACTGAATCAGATATAAACAAAAAGTCTAAACAAACCAATAACTAGTAACAAAAATCAAATTAGTAAGAACTCCCAACAAACAAAACTCCTGGCTAGATTGCTTCACAGGTGGGTTTTACAAAGCAGTCAAAGAGAATACCTATCCTTCTCAAATCAACAAAATAAAAAAAATAAAAAAAAATAAAAAAGTTGCCCCAGTCAGTTCATCTGTCTGTGGACTGAAGGGTCCTGGGTTTGATTCCAGACAAAGGCACATAATCTCAGTTACAGGGTCCTCCCTGCCCTAGGCCCTGGTTGGGTTCATGCAGGAGGCAACCAATCAATGTTTCTCTCACATTGGTATTTCTCTCTTTCCCTCTCTCTTCCACTCTCTCTAACAATCAATGAAAAAATATCCTCCAGTGAGGATAAAAATAAAAAATAAGACACAGAGAATAGATTGATGTTTACCTGAGGGTTGGGAGTTAGAGGTTCGGGGAACTGGGTGGAAAAGATAGATTAAAAAGTAAAAATTGGTAGTTACAAAATAGTTACAGGATATAAAGTGCAGCAAAGGGACTATACCCTGTTTCCCCGAAAATATCGATAAGACAGTGTCTTATATTTTTTCTCCCAAAGTTGCGCTAGGTCTTATTTTCAGGTGATGTCTTATCTTTCCATGCGCTAGGTCTTATTTTCGGAAGATGTCTTATTTTCAGGGAAACACAGTAGTCAATAATATTGTAATAAATATTATGTAGGGTACCATGTTGGTACTTGAAATATTGGGAGGGGGGTCACTTTGTAAAGTATCTAACTACTATGCTATACACCTGAAACTACTACAAAATACTGAATATAAACTATAATATAATAAATAAAAATTTTAAAACAAGCATTAAATCCACTCTCAGATATATGAGTACAAATCTTAGAAAGCTCTTTAACCCTCAGTTTCCTATTTATGAGATGGGTATAACACTCTTCTCTCAGAGCTATTGTGGGGATTAAGTTAAATGATGTACATCAACACAATAAACCTGTATGTGATTTAAGTCTTCAATAAACTGATGTGTGTGTAAAAAAAAAAAAGAAAGAAAGAAAAAGAAAGAAAGAAATTAAGAAAACAAATCCACTTACAGTTACATCAAAAAAATATACGTAGGAGCTCTAACCGGTTTGACTCAGTGGATAGAGCATCAGCCTGCAGACTCAAGGTCCTAGGTTCAATTCCAGACAAGGTACATGCCCAGTAGGTGGTGTGCAGGAGGCAGCTGATCAATGTTTCTAACTAACTCTCTTTCCCTCTCCCTTACTCTCTGTAAAAAAATCAATATTAAAAAAAAATATATATATATATATAAAACCACAAAATATATATATAAAAATATGTATATATATATATATATACACACACACACACACACACACACACAACACACACAGGAATATATGTAAGCAAGATTTCACCAAAAATTATTAAAACTAATAAATGAATTCAACAAAGCAAGATCCAAAATTAATATTAAGAAATTGGTTGCATTTTTACATATAAATAAGAGAATTTTTTTTAAATCCCATTTAAAATTGCATCAAAGCCCTAGCTGGTTTGGTTCAGTGGATAGAGTGTCTGCCTGCAGACTGAAGGGTCCCAGGTTTGATTCTGGTCAAGAGCACATACTTTGGTTGCAAGGTCCTCCCCGGTCTGGGCCCCTAGTTGGGGCTCATGCAGGAGGCCACCAATCAATGTGTTTCTCTCATATCGATGTTTCTCTCCATCTTTCCCTCTTCCACACCCTCTGAAAATCAATGGGGGGAAAAATATCCTCAGGTGAGGATTAAAAAAAAAATTAACAACCAAAAAAAGATAAAATTGCATCAAAAAATAATAAGTTACCAAGGAATAAATTTAATCAAAGAGGTAAATGTCCTGTATTTAGAAAACTATGAAACATATAAGAAAGAAACTGAAGTTGATATAAATAAATGAAAAATATGCCATGCCCCTGGATTGGAACACTTAACATCATTAAAATGTCCATTCTACCTAAAATAATCTATAGGCTCAATGCAATCCCTATCAAAATACTAACAGCATTTTTCACAAAACTAGAACAAAAAGCCCTACAATTTATATGGAACCACAAATAACTCCAAATAGCCAAAGCATTCTTGAGAAAAAAAAGGGCAAAGCTGGAGGTATCCACTACCTGATATCAAACTATACTACAAAGATATAGCAATCAAAGCAAAATGGTACCAGCATAAAAAAAACAAATTAATGGAACAGAATAGAAAGCCCGGATATAAACCCACACTATTATAGTCAATTAACTTATGACAAAGAATATACAAGAGAGGTAAAAACAGTCTCTTCAATAAGTGGCTTTGGGAAAAATTGCAAAAAAATGAAGCAACCACTTTTTTTATACCATATACAAAAATAAACTCAAACTGGATTAAAGACTTAAATATAAGACCTGAAAATATAAAACTCCTAGAAAAAAACATAGGCACTAAACTCTGACTTTACCCTTAGCAATAATTTTTATGGATATGTCTCTTCAGGCAAGAGAAACATCCATGTGAGAGGAACACATTGATTTGCTTGCCTTCCTCATGCGTCTCAACCAGAGCTGGGAATTGAACCTGCAACTGAGATACGTCCCATTGATCAGAATCAAACCTGCAGTCCGCAGGCTGACACTTTATACACTAAGCCAAACCGGCTAGGGCCGGCAGTAATTCTTTACAAATTCTTCCAAAAATAAAAAAGGGGAAAAAATTTTTTCTGATTACAATTGACATTCGATATTATATTAGTTTCAGGGGTAGGAGGAAACTTTCTAGCTCGTTCTATAAGTCCAGTATTACCATAATTTATTTAATTATTTATATATATATATATATATATATATATATATATATGGTATATATACACAATGGAATATTACTGAGCCATAAACAAAAATGAAATCTTGCCATTCACCACTTGGATGGACCTAAAGGGTATTATGCTAAGTGAAATAAGTCAAACAGAGAAAGACAAGCACCACATGATTACACAAATATGTAGAATATAAAAAATAAAACAAACACACTCATAGATACCATGATTCCAAACCAAACAAAGACAATACCAAAATAAAATAAAAAGGGGGGGTGGGGGGAAGGGGACCAGACAATATCCCTCATGAATATGCAAAAGTCCTTAACAAATTCTAGGAAACAAAATGCATCAACCTATGAACAGGATTATACATCATGACCAATTGGCATTTAACCCAGGAATACCAGGGTAGTTCGACATATGAAAGTCAAAATTAGTATACAATATTAATAGAATATAGATGGAAAGCACACATCATCTCAACAAATATTGGAAAAGCATTTGACAAAATCCAGCACATTCCCATGATAAAAAGAAACATTCAATAAACTTATAATGAAAGGGGAACTTTCTTAACCTGATAAAGGCCTCTACTAAAAAAACAACCACACATAGCTAGCAACATATTTGATGGTAAAAAACTGAAAGCTTTCCCCTAAGAACAGAAACAAGATAAAGAATGTTCATTATTGTCCAGTATAGAACTGAAAGTTCCAGATAGGTTAATTAGGCAAGAAAAAAATAAAAAGCATTCAGATTGGAAAGAAAGCAGTAAACCACCTCTATTTGCAGATGGCATGATCTTAGATGTAGAAAATCCTAAGGAAATCTACACTCACAAAAAAATGAGAGCTAATAAGGTTTAGCTAATTGCAGGATTAATATACAAAAATCAATTGTATAGAAATACAATTAGCAATAAACCATTCAAAATTGAATTTGAGAAAACATTTTCATTTATAATACCATCCAAAACTATATATATTTAGGAATCCATCTAGCAAAAGTGTAATACATATACTGAAAACGATAAATAAATTTAGAAAAGACCTGTCCTAGCTGGTTTGGCTCAATGGATAGAGCCTGTGAACTGAAGGGTCTAGGGTTTGATTCTGGTAAAGGGCACATGCCCAGATTGCAGGCTCTATCCCGAGTAGGGGGTGTCCAGGACGCAGCCGATCAATGATTCTCCATCATTGATGTTTCTATCTCTTTCTTTTTCCCATCCTCTCTGAAGTAAAAAATATACATATTTTTTAATTTAGAGAGGACCTAATAAAATGAAAAACATCCCACATTCATGAATCGAGAGACTTAACATTGTTTAAAATAGCAATAATCCATAAATCAATCTACAGATTCAATGCAATCTCCATTAAAATATAAGCTTCCTTGCCGAGACCAGTTTGGCTCAATGGATAGAGCGTCGGCTTTGGGACTGAAGGGTCCCTGGTTCGATTCCAGTCAAGGGCATGTACCTTGGTTGCGGGCATATCCCCAGTAGGGGGTGTGCAAGAGGCGGCTGATCGATGACTCTCTCTCATCGATGTTTCTAACTCTATCTCTCTCCCTTCCTCTCTGTACAAAATCAATAAAAATATATATTTTTTTAAAACCAAAAACCTTTAAAAAAAAAAAAAAAGCTTCCTTTATTGAATTGACAAACCTATTCTAAAATTCATATGGAAATCCAAGAGATCTCAACTAGCCAAAATAATCTTGAAAAATAAGGATAAATTTGGAAGACTTGCACTTTCCAATTTCAAAACCTACTACAAAGCTACAGTAATCGAGTCTATGTTGTGCTGGGATAAGAATAAACACAGATTAAAGGAAGAGAATTCGGTCAACTGATGTTTTACAAGGGAAAGAAAAGAGTCTTTTCAACAAATGATGCTGGAATAACTGGACATCCACATACAAAACTATAAAATTGGACCTCTACTCACCATTTACAAATTTTAACTCAAAATAGATCAATAACCTGAAATAAGAGCTAAAACTATAAAATTCTTTTGTTTGTTTTTGTTGCTAATCCTTACCCAAGAATATTTTTTTCCATTGATTTTTCAGAGTGGAAGGAAGAGGAAGGAGAAAGACGAAGAGAGAGAAACAGCATGAGAGAGAGACACACATTGATTGGTTGCTCCCTCACACTGGGGCCAACGAACAGAGCCTGCAACTGAAGTATGGCCCTCGACCAGAACTGAACTCGAGACCCTTCTGTCCAGAGATCAACGCTCTAATCACTGAGCAACCAGCCAGGGCAAGACTATAAAACTCTTAGAAGAAAACACAGGACAAGTCTTTATGATCTTAGATTAGGCAATGGATTATTAGATATAATACATAATGCAGAAGCAACCAAAGGAAAAAAAATAAATAAATTGGACTGTTTCAAAATTTAAAACTTTGTTCTTTTAGGTTGCTATCAAGAAGTGAAAAGACAACTCACAGAACGGGAGAAAACATTTGCCAAAACATATCCGATAACAATCTAGTACCCACAATATACAAAGAACTCTTACAACTTGACCATAAAATGATAAATCATTTGAATTTTTAAAATGGACAATGGGTTTCAATAGACATTTCTCCAATAAAGATATACATATAGCCAATAAGCTCATACAAAAATATTCATCAGAATTAGTCATTAGGAAAGTATATCAAAATACAACAACATTGGCCTTTATGCCCACTAGAATAGCAAGTCTTGTAAGAATGTCAGCTGTTTGATAAAACAGTATAGCAGCATATTTGCTTCCAATTGCTACTGTAAAAAATTACCACACATTTAGTGGCTCAGAACAACACATACCTATATTCCCTTAGAGATCTGGAGGTCAGAAGTTCATAATCAGTTTCACTAAAGTCAAGGTGTTGTTAGGGCTGGTTCCTCCTGG